ATCGGCCAGTCCGTGAATCGTCCTTTCATGCACCTTGAAGTTTTGGGGGTTCTTGTCTTCTGACAGGACCTTGACCCGGCATTTCAATTTTGCGAGAGCTTTGTGGAGATCGTATAGGTTGAAGCCACCCTCGTAGAGATCCGAGACCTTGCCCTTCGGCCGAAAAACGCCGTGGCTGACGTTCGCGTTCAGTAGAAGGCGCCCGGTCGCCAGGCGGGGACTTTGAAAATAGCCTCGGATGATCCTGTTGTACTCGGGACCGTATAGCTCCTTCAACTCTTCTTGAATATTCAAGGGGAAATAACGGCTGCGGCCGAGGGATGCCAGATCTGCGTGGCCTTTTTCGCGGCATGCGTTGCTTCGGGCGTGGTGGCCGGCTATGACACTAATGGCATCCACTTGTTCAATATACTTGGGGAAAGATACGTCACCTGTCGGGTCCTTTCCCGTCCGAAGATACGCGAGGAGACCCGGAATGTCGACATTGGTCGGGCCGTCAAAAAGGACCTCGAACACGTCACCTCTGCCTTCGACGTCGTAAGTTACCAAGACCGTCTTGCTTGGTGGCAACTGAAGGGCCTCGCGTGTAATCACCTGGTCCTTGAACTCCGTGGCATATTGCCCCGGCTTGGCCACTTGTTTCAGAGCGGACCCAAGGATGTTGTGGAGCTTTCTACCCTTGGGGTCGGGAACTTTCTTGTCCCCCTTTTCTTTTATTGGCTCTCCGCCGTCCGGAGAAGCTTTCCCCTTCCATGTCGCCTTGAGGGAATACTTGTAAAGCGCGGAGCCGCCATTCACGTTGACCCGAAAATAGTTGGCCCAAAGGATGATCGGTTTGCCCTGGGTTCCAAAGGCTGGCCGCACGGGGAATACGTCGCCCGTAGAGGCGGGAGCTTTGGAGCCCGAACTCCCGGATATTTTGGTCTTTGCCATTTTAGCATTGAGCGCGCTGACGCCCGTTAGTGGAGCGATAATCTTGTTCTCCAGGGCCGTAACGGCATTGTCCGGCGGAGGCACGACGCCATCATAGCTTTGATAAGACCCTGATGTCAGCACGAGGCAACTTCACGAGAGGGGGCGAGGAAGAGAACTGACGTGAAGACTATTTGTTCACCAGCGAACTTGTCGAAGCCACCGCGACCACCACCGTCAAAGCCACCTCCACGGCCGCGACCACCACCACCCTCGTAGCCACCGCCTCCACGGCCGCGACCACCGCCGCCCTCGTAGCTACCGCCTCCACGGCCACGACCACCACCGCCCTCGTAGCCGCCACCGCCACCGCCACCGCCACCGCCACCGCCACCTCCACCACCACGGCCTCCTTGGTACCCTGAGAAAGTTGCACCGCCGCGGCCCCGGCCTTGGCCGTCAAAGTCTCCCCTACCGCGACCTCCACCGCGCCCTCCACCACCGCGCCCTCCACCACCTCGACCGCCACCACCACGACCTCTAGGTTGGTAGTCGGACATCCTCAGAGCACGCTCCCCGAGTTATCGAAGGTTTGGGGCGAAAAAGGATGTGCCGGTAATTAAATTAACAAGGGTAATACTACCAATGCCTAAATATGAAATTCGTTAGCACCTCATTCCATAATAAAAAGACGTCCCTTGCTTGAGCCACTAGGCCAGACTCGGGGCGGCGTACCTTTTGAATACGGGCCTGAGATGATATGAAGCGATAATGTAATAAAAGCCCAACAATGAGAAACTGGGGGGGGGAACGGAAGGGAATGAAGGAACTGCGTTGTATTTGAAGATACAGGCTGGGGCAAGGAGGTATCAAACCTACCTCATGACAAACAATATAAATGTGCAATTGCCCCAAACACCAGACCGGTTTGATAAACAGCAAGCCACCTTCCAGCAGCGCGGACGGCGCAGTCAGGTTAGGAGGCAGTCTTGGCCGTTGGAATTACCTACTAGGGTTCAGATTTTGTTTGGGTGTGGGTTTGGAAGGCGTGAAGATGTTGCAAACAGCGATGAAGAAGTACATGTAGGTAGATACTGATAGCAGCCGCGCAATTGACAGTCGCTACCGAGGCACAAACAGATGTGTACCATGTAACTACCTAGTACCTAGCGACAGTACTAACATAGGACCGATCCGTCATACAACGTTGAACATGAAATGCAGAGTACCGGAATTTGAGGGCGGATGTGTCCGAGAGCAGCTCCCCCCAATCCACCTATCTAGTACTTTGTATAGGGCACCTGGTCTTGCACTTGCCGGAGGACAGGTCCTAGTTACAAAGACAAGACGTGAGGTTTCGGTAGGTGTATGGCAGAGGATAGGCAGGTACAAGGTAGTTGAAACGCCGGGGCGGGACGAAGACGTCGTCCAAGGGAAGGAATTCTCACTTACCAGACAAGCAGTTGCGCTTGAGATGCAATGGCGGATTGATGCTCAGCCAGAGAACTCACGACTGCCTTCAACTTTATGAGCGGTGACAGTCTGGTTTAATTAGTTTTCAGAGTTTTGGTTTGGTTAGGTAAGGTGATAAGGGTAAGGCAGGGTTGGACGTATGAGGTAGGCACGAGTAGGTAAGTAGTCAGGTATCTACCTCTATCTTGGTATAGTTGTGTATGAGTACATCATTAGGGAAGAAGAACCACGCTAGAAGAAGGTGTTTTACCTATTTCGTAATAGAACAGTTGGCAGGGTTACAAAGATGATGGAGATGTATCGTAGATCCTGTCTTTCATCTACTTGGTTCTCATAACCATCGGTGTTTTTCCAAGGTAAAGTGGTATACTGGGGAAGCTTTTCTGTACGGGAAATTTTTCAAGGGAGGCTTACCTTACATATCTTTATAAACTACCAAATGGCCAGAAAATAGTGAGTCGGCCTTGCTATTGTGATTTGTTCCCGTGATCGTTATTCACATATTCCCAACTTTACCTGCCCTGCATCATAACGCATCTTAGACGCATCTTAGACGCTGGAATCCCTACAGCAACGGCGTCACAACTGTTCAGTATCAAGGGAGGTAGCCAACCAGGCATGCAGACTTGCACAGGACGTCTTTCCCACATGCTGCTTAGCCTGCATATCATTATAACCAGGTTCATGTCGAATGACTCAAAACTGTACAAGATTCGGACTCCGTTCTCGTTGTGCTGAATACGCGTGCGCGTAGAAAACCAGAGGTGCTCTTATCAATGCGTAAAACAACCCCGTCGCCTGGGGTAGTTCGCGGGGTGGGCGGTGAGCGGTATTCTGTGGCGTACGGACACTGGAAGAGCGGAAGTAGCTGTGCTCTGAGAGATGTCTCTCACACGTGTACTCGTAGATATCTCTGGCTCAAAATTTGCTATCTGGTTCTGCAGAATACCCACCTCCTGGTCCAGATGCAAATATGGATGAGTCAGTTAATACATATGCGTCTTATGTTGTGTACGTTGTATGAGTAGGGGTATCGTTGAATTGTCCTTTACCAGAGGCAGGGAGGTGTGGTGTGTTACATTGCGTCCTCAAGGCGTCGTCAAGAGTTGCCTACCTTAAATCAGCTAACCTAACCTAACCTAGGTGTCTAACGGATAGCCTAGCACGCCTGGTACTGATACCTACTATGCTCTAGTGCCGATATGGGACTGGAAAAGAGAGGATTTGACTGCTCGACTGCTCGACTTCTCAAAGTGATCGTTTGCCACCTTGACAAGTCCAATCGTCTCTGTCGCCTTGGGGTACAGTACACCGCCCATAAAAAGAACAACGTTTACTTGACCGGAAGGACGGCCGATTCTGCCCATCCTCGACGTGTCGACAAACGGATGGACATGAGAGACGGTTTTAAGTGGCGCGCCAGAATTGATGACCCTTCCACCATTTTTTGGCATGCAAGGGAGTAGGTTAGGTATTGGCGTTTGTTTCATCTGCGCCTGCTACAATAGGCATCATCGAGAGAGGCGACCCGCTGGCCAGGGTTGCCTCAACGCACCTCTGTCGCTCGAAGTAGGTATCACTTGATGGTGGACGCTAGTCCAACAGCAATACGCGCCTTCTGGACCGGGGTTGTTGCACGCCTCGCGAGCATGGAACTTATCCGGGAATGCATTGGTACGCTGTCTGCCTTGTAGGTAACAGAGAGTTACGAGGCCCTTACAACACGTCATCGAACCATAGCTTCGATACGAACATACAGGTCAACACCAGTATGCTGTCGGTTGGCGTCGTAGCGGACAAAGGAGAGCACAGAACAAGGGGTAGGATATGCGTGATTCTTCGAAATGTCTCCCTTCGTCTCGAGATTTGTGAGTCACATAGTGGCCCTGAGTAGATGCAGGTATCGCGGCTTCGGATGTCATGCAACGTGATCCCACCACTGTCGTCTTGGAGGAACCCGCCCCCGCTTGGAGGCTGGTCGCTGAATATCCATTGGAGTAGGGTTGCACGAACACGCCGTTGCGAATTGCTTTTGGCCTGTGTTTAGCTAGCGTATCGTTGCATTCATGACCTGTCCTGAGCCTTAGAAAAGGTATTTTCCAGGCACACAGGTCTGGTTTCTACCTGACAACGTTGACATGCTTGGGAAGATATTCACGTGTGCAAAATTTCCAGTATAGGTAGCAACCGGAACAGATCTTGACAAAGTTTCATGTTTTGTGATTTCTCCGGCACCTAGGTTAGACTTTCCCCGCAGCATTATTGACTATGACCTGATAAACAAGTCCTAGGCCCCAAGAGAAGTCTCAGAGGTATAGAATACATGTACAGTCTCCCCTGAGCCATGAACGTCGAGTATGTATGTTTCTGCGTAGGTATCACAAGACAAGGAGTCCAAGAGTATTTGAAAATTTCAAGGCTTGACGCGCCCGATTTCTCTAGAAATACGTGCGTATTAGGAAGCAGTGTGGAACAACCGAACGCCAATTAGGGCAGGACTTAAGGACCTCAGTGGGTTCGTATCCACCTCTATTTTTTATGTACACACATCGACCGACAGCTTTCTATGACATATGCGCGAGTAGCAAATCGGGTTTCAACAAACAGCTTTGACTGCCCGGTTAGCTCAATCGGTAGAGCGTGAGACTCTTAATCTCAAGGTTGCGGGTAAGTTGTGAATATGATGCCCACCAGTAGATGGTTGGACGCTAAGATATGTTATGTTATAGGTTCGACCCCCGCATTGGGCTCAATTCCTGATGCTTCCCAGTTAACTGGGAATGCAACCTCTGACCTTTTTTTTTTTCTCCGTGACTTGTCAAGATTTTGGGGTATTCTACTTTTCATGTGATATCCGTGTTTTGTGAGGGCCTACGTACACTTAAATTCCGAAACAATTGTTGAAAATATAGCTGTCCTTGTGAGAGAGCCGGGTTAAGAGAGCTGTGTATTATCATTTCTTTTCGTGCCCCGCAGTTGCGACCTCGAGTATCTCTTTTTCCAAACCGCCAACAAGAACAACCTCAATGCCGGCTTCTTCCAGCTTCCGCCGACTTGAATTATCACTGACAAATGTCTCCGGCTCCTGTACCCCAACATAGACGGTTTTGATACGCTTGCCGACGGCTATAATTCTATCAACACAAGGTTGATTGCCGCTCAGTCGCTGCGAACAAGGCTCTACCGTTGTATATAATACGACCTCATCAGGCAATGCCTGGCCCAGCTGTTTTGTGGCAACGGAATATTTCTGCGCCAGCTTCTCTATACAGCATTGCTCTGCATGCGTGTTGCCTGGAAGCTCAAGCGTAAAGCCAGTCGCAAGTACCTCATTTGTCGCTGGATCTACAATGACGGCACCGACACGATAATTGGTAGGTTTTGGAGGCGACTGAGTTGCGAGTGACAGTGCTAGTCTCATGTAACCTTCATGGTCGCCGGGCTGCACAGTCGATGTCGGGCTTTGGGTAGAATTCGACATTATCAACATGTATTAGAGGCATGAATTGTTAAAAGATCGTAGGAAATAATCTTTATAATACAGAGAATGTTAAATGAGCATGCGGTCATCAGAATCGCTCGTAATAATTGAGTCGGTAGAAAATAAATGGTCCGGCTATTAAACATTTCCCCGCTGTCGCTGATCCCCGCAGGGCCTCTTCCTCAGTGGCCCACTCATTGTAAGGTACACCCAAACCACTAAACGCGTCTACACCCCAGGCTCGAGACCATCCGACGCGTCTAAACCGGCAAGTCCATCTGATTTCGTCAATTCAAGTACATACCTCTATTCATCTTTGAACCTCTTCCTTGCTCGACTGCAACACGAAGAAACAGAGGCGAGCTATCAAATTCGTCATGGAATCACCGGAAGATATTTTAGACGGCGAACCCCCCACGATTGATCCGTACCAAGAACTTGGTCTGGAGCGCGAAGCAACCGCGGACCAAGTCAAGTCTGCATATCGGAAGCTCGCATTGAAGAACCATCCGGGTATGCAAGCCACGAATCAGCCATATTCTATAATTACCCCTCGCTGACCTCACTTTCCAGACAAGGTCGCCGAGGATAAAAAGAAAGAAGCGCACGAGAAATTCCAGTCCATCGCCTTTGCCTACGCCGTTCTTTCCGACCCAGCAAGACGCAAGCGCTACGATGAAACCGGCTCCACATCAGAGTCCATCGTCGACTCCGACGGCTTCAGCTGGTCGGATTTCTACCGAGAACAGTTCCGCGACGCGATTTCGAACGATGCGATCGAGAAATTCGCCGCCGCCTACAAAGGCTCGGATGAAGAGCGAGACGATATCCTCGTCGCCTACGAGGAACACGAAGGCAATATGGATGGGATCTACGAGACAGTGATGCTCAGCGACGTCCTAAAAGACGACGAACGATTTCGCAAGATAATCGACGATGCTATCGCAAGTAAGGACGTGCCTGCGTTCAAAGCCTATACGAAGGAGAGCAAGAAGTCCAAACAAGCGCGCATCAAGGCCGCAAAAGATGAAGGCGCGGAAGCCGAAGAGTATGCGAAAGAATTGGGCGTTCACGATAAGCTATTTGGCAATAAGGGTGGAAACAAGAAGGGAAAGAAGAAGGGCTCGCCCGAAGACGACCTGGCGGCGCTCATTCAACGCAACCAGTCGCGCCGCGCGGACTTCCTTGACAATATCGCTGCCAAGTACGGCGCCACAACTTCTGCACCGAAGAAGGGAAAGAAGCGGCGTGCAGAAGAAAGCGAGCCCTCGGAGGAGGCATTTGAAGCGGCCGCAGCCCGACTTACGAAAGGAAAGAAACGTCGTGTAGGGGAAAGCGAACCCTCGGAGGAGGCATTTCAAGCCGCCGCAGCGCGACTTAAGAAAGGGAAGAAGAAATGATCTTCCAGTCGATAAGCATTTTTGTCCCAGCGTTTTGAGGCGTTTCTAGGAAGGGGTAGGATTAGGTTTATGGCACATTCGCGTTTGGTTTAATAAGGATCATAGCTTGGCGTTTGATATCACGGAAGGCTGTTGGAAGTTTAGCAAACGTTTACGGGATAATGCAATCACACTGTCTCATATTTGACTTTTGATGTAATCGCGAAGGTAAGTTATACGTTAGAGAATTACAGATTCCATTCTGACTTCTGGGTGGTCACCATCTACGATTACTATGCTCCCTGCCCCCATTTGAATGCTTCGATCCAGACATGCCAAACTCCCTACTCACATGTGGTCGGATGGGTGTCGACTCAGTAATATATGACGTCCAGTATCTCTAATTCTATCTACAGCCTGAAAGTTATCTATTGTTCTGAAAATCCGAATTACATCCCTCTTATAAGAAACGATTGATCCCTTTCTAGGTATTACATCGTGTCATTGTAGGCAGGCTAGATCTCGGCAAGTGGGTACAGTGCATCAGGCACTCAGCAGCTCAGCACTCTGCATCCCACCTTATGTACTCTGCCGTACTCTGGCCGACGTTGGGATGCCATCTCATTGAGCCTCTGGGTTAGGTACTTTCTCAAAACAACAAGCAACGCGACCGTTGCATAGAACTTATATCATAAATAATAAAATACGACCGCAATCGCTACCCCAACCCTTTACTTGCGATCTTAGACGATGGCCTGAGGCGATCGACCTACCCTGAACCGAGCATTACCTCTAATTGACCTCAACACAAGCGTGACCGTCCGGTCTGTCCCGTCGCCATGGAAGAGGAACAGCCGCAGTCGGCATCTACCTGGCCGCCGCCACCACCGTTCTGGAAAGCCTTCACACCAGAGAACATAGCACGCATAGATGATCTGCGGAAAGAGACAGCCGAGCGTTCAAACATACAAGACCGTTCTACCGTCCGTCTCGACGGCCTTCCCCGGGGCCTACGAAATCTACAGCCGCCAGCCGAACCTGTCGACGGCGAATGGCGCGTTTTCGGCGCCCACTACAAATTAAAAGACGAGCTCCCGAGACTAGAAGACGGCGAGATCCGAAGGCTGTTTCCGAACCCGGAGGAGCGGGATCAGGATGGGAAGCACTTTGACCGGGCAACGATACTGAAGCGATTGGCCAAGTCGCTCCTGCTGAATTTTCTGGAGCTGACTGGTCTATTAGCCACACGACCTGAAGAAGTATGTCTATACAAATCCATCCCCTTTAGGCCCTCGGTCCTGCGCGGGATTCTATCCATGTTAGGAACTGCTTTTCTGACGTGTGTGTATATGACATAAACAGGCAGAGGAGAAGATAACGGACATTAGAGATCTCTTCATCAATTTCCATCACCTCATCAACGAATACAGGCCACACCAGGCCCGCGAATCCCTCATATCCCTCATGCAATCGCAGCTCGACAGGAGACGAGCCGAGACAAACGCGATCCGCGATGCGGTGGATAAGGCGGAGCGCGTTCTCGAGGGCCTAAGTAGTCTAACGATAGAAGAAGAGACAAACGACATGGAAATTGAAGAGAAGGACCCTAACAGCGTGGATATCGACACTTGGGAGCTTCTGGCAAGCTAGGCAGTGGGAGATCTTGGACTGGACGCGGGAAAAGTCAAAAGCGCCTGATTTGGACAAAGCAGCATACAACCCATGCCAACTCTGCATATGGTTTTCTTGAGGCGTTGGTATGAGGATATTACGGTCACCGGTATGGTTGGAAAACATGGCGCAATCAGGTTCAAAAAATGGGTAAAAATGGATTATGATACCCCTATGCTGCCATGAGCTGTTTGACGATGGAGCTTGAGGAGGGCTTGACGATATCAACGAATAAATCAAACTACAGCGCAACCGCGATTCCATTCCTTTGTGACTGAGTTGTCTTAAATGTTGAGTTCCGTTCCGTTTCCCATCATCCCAGAACCATTATTCTCGATGGTTGATCAAACCATTCCACCACTTGCTCGCCGTCCCCCCGATCCATTGAATCATCGGAGTCCTTACATGACAGTGCAAGGAATGGGAATGCAGCAGCATTCAAAGTCGCCGCAGTCAATACATCGCGTCTTTCCACCAGTTGCCTCGGCCGGCTTGACGATGTTCTCGAATGTTGACGATGCGGCGCTTCCGGGACCGTTGCGGTTGACGAGGGAGGCGGAACCGCAAGCCATTTCTCGTATTATTGTTTTTCCTTTTCGACCAGTCGGTCTTAGATTAGACTTTTCCGCCCCTCTATCTAGCCTTCGTTCGACAAGTGTTGGGGTTTGGTTGGAAGAGATGCGAAGAGATGGCGGTGAGTAGATTTGTTTTGATAGACGAACACTTTGTATAAGTCGTCTAACCTAGTAACTCGGATAGACAACAAGACGGCGCAGGTAAAAGGTAAAGGCAGATGTGAGTCTGAGAAATTCACTCTGAGGGAAAAACAGGCATATACAAGTTTAGACTACACGTAGATACCTACACGTAACCTGAAAGTGGCAGTGTATTGTCAGTCGTGGACCAATGATGTAATCGGGTGATACCAAGATGCGTTGTTGGAAAGAGGTTAACGATCGGCGCCTAGGCATTCCTAGGTTAGGTTCCAGATATCCTACATAGGGCTAGGTTAGCTAGTAACATCGTGACATCTCTGACTGAGGAACGTCTCATACTCGGTTATATAATATATCTCGTTCAGGAGGTTGCCTGTCCTATTTTCAGTGAGTAATATTGTCTAATGGTATACTTTTCCATGTCTTAACATTCTTGTTCGGAACAAGGAGGGCATATGTATAATGTATAGGACTTTAGGTGAGAGGTCATAGGTGTTGTTTCA